GAAAGAAAGAAAGAAAGAAAGAAAGAAAGAAAGAAAGAAAGAAAGAAGGACATTATGCACACTGAGCAAAGGGTCTACCATTAAGCTACAGCCTCTAACCAGCACTTGGATTACATCACAACTTCTTGGCTTCGAAACCAAGGTCAAGTCAATTTACCAGTCTGAGGTGCTCTTGACTTCCTGGGGAATGAAGGACATTGTATCACCCATCTCAGTGGGCTGTTGGAAATTTCATGAACAGAAGCCCCAGGCTGTTTGTTTATATCTGACCCAGAGAGTGTAAGAATGCAAACTAACAAGCACACGAAGAGCTTACCAGTTTCTGGACTTCAAATTCCGCAGCTACATGCCAGCAGCCCTCCTCGTTAGGGTATAGCATCACAACGTCAAAGGCAGAAGCTGTGGCAACAGTGGCCTGTTCCCGGCTGAGCGCAAGGGCCTGTATTCTTGCATCATGCTCAAACCGATAGATAGGGAACTTCCCGGTCCTCAGGTCCCAAATGTTAAGAATCCCTAGAAAGAAGCAATTTAGACAGCAGCTGTAAACGCAGTACATGCAGGCACAGAATAATTATGCCATCATTTTCAGATTTACTATGTGAGGATAAATGTGTATGCCTATTTGTTTGAACTTGTTTCACTGCTTCCTTGTACAAGGACTTGGAGGTGTCACTCCACACCATGAGCCTCTGAATACAGCAGTAGCCACACAGGACTACTGGGCACATCACAGAAGACCCTCCACAAACAGTGCAGATGTTTTCCTCTCTGGCTCGTCCAGAAAGCCGGCCCTGGTCCTGACTTTCCTACTGCCTAAGAGTGACAACCACTCCCTCTTGGTCTCTGTGCAGTCCACTGTCTTCTCTTTTTTTCTTCCTAATACCACACTTCATCTCTATACTCAAAGTGCCTGAACTCAGGTTCTTGCTCTACAGTACCACCGTGCACAGAGACATGGGCTTAGTTGCAAGACTTTCGAATGGCCCACCGCAGACAGTCCAGAACAGCAACAAAGCTTTCCTCCAGGGAAAAGCTTCATTATTAACCTTATGCATGCTTCTAAGAACTATGATCACATGGAGGAAGGCAGGTCACAAAAAGCTCCGTGCCATGGTCACCCTGGCAAATACGTTAGTAAATTCTCTCTATTCTGCCTCAAAGGGAGGCAATGTGCTATAGAAAATGCATGTTGTGGGTGCCCACTCACTAAGTAGGAATTAGTGTCTCCTCAAGAGGCCTCATCTTTACATGTCCTTTCCAAGCTCTGCTCTGCATTTGTCCCATGGCAACACACAGTGACAACTGCTGTGCAGAGCCTCTGGGTGCTCAGCATCACATGCCTCCTCACTGTGTACTCTCATCATGGAAGAGCAGTTATTCCATTCCACAAAAACAGGATAGCAGAAGCCTTAAGTGGCTGGATAACCGCTTCATGACTACTCACTGTGACAGTCTGGAGCTTGGTGAGGACTGACACACCACCAAAGACGCCCTCTGTTCTGCCTGGCGTGGAAGCTGTTTAACCACAGCTGAAGTGTGTCTCCAGACACAGATCTCATTATTAGCCAGGCTGATCTGGCTGGCATCCTTTTCTTACTGGATGTAGTAAATATCATGTAAACATGCAGTAAACATACCTCAGCACAGAGCCGAGCTCCAAGCTGCTCAGACACTCAGGGCTCCTCTACCATAATGGCCACTCTCTCTGAGCACCCACCATACTGTCACCATTAACAGCCTTTCTTCTTCAGTTCCATTCTTATGGGTACAACTAACTAACTAACTAACTAGACCAGCTGCCCCTTGTCATTAGCACTGGTGTAACTTAAAATCAATTCTGGTGTGTAAGCATGCAGTGCTCTTAGGTTTTCTTGAGTTAATTGTCCTTCTCTGTCCCTGGTTAGTGCCTCTGCTCTGAAGTCCACTTTGCCACTGGCCCAGAACTCTGGCTTTGTTTGATTCTTATTAAAACAAGGAGCTTTCACATCCATTTACTTTGCTTTGTGTCTTTATTTTCAAAGTGGGGTTCTTGGAGCCATGTGTGGTCACACATCTGTAACTGCAGCAACTGGGAGGCTGAGGCAGCACACAGACACTGTGAGATTAGCCTGAGCAACATAACAAGGCCAGCGTGAGCCATAATTTGTCTCTAAATACATAATACATACAGTAGACTTCTTGTAGATCTCATTTATTTGGTCTTTTAAAACAAGTTAAGACTATTTATATTTTTAGATCTATTTCATTTTTAATTATGTAAATGTGTCTATGCAGATGTCCATGAGGACAGAGGCCTTGGATACCCTCAAGTTGGAGTTCTAGGTGGTTGTGAGCTTCCCAGTGGGGATGTGAGACTCAAACTCTGAAAGAGCAGCAAATGGCCTTAATACCTGAGCCATCTTTCTTGTCCACTATTTACATATACGTTTTTTATCTTTCTCTGACCTAGTTTTTTATATTGTGTGCTCCATTATGAGTCCTCTGCTGGCTTATTGGCCAAAACTCTCCCTACAATTACTGAGCAGCTTCTTTAGGATCTTAAGACACATGCTCAGCTCAGCACAGCCTGGCTTTAAGTGACACTACTGATTTTCATTGAGTAAAGCACTCCAGAGCCATGTAGCTATTTTCCCTCCTGACCTCTGTACTACTGCTGCCATACTTGGTTTTGCAGTAGTGGGTGAGCCAGTATCTCTTAGAGTGCTGGAAGTAAGGAGAGCCCCTTCTGATTCCCTGTGTAGTTACCATGTGCCAACACCACCTTCAACAGCATCAGAAACTCAGAAGCATGGTAGCAACTAGGCAGTTGTGACAAGCATCCGCTCAGCCTTCACAAGTCCCACCCCTGCTCCCCAGTTCCCAAATCATTAAAGGAGGAAAGAACTTAAGGGAGGGACAGACAGACACCAGACTGAGCAGCTTATCAGTGAACACAGTTTTCTATCACATCACTTTTCAACCTGACAACTGTAGAGGCCTGAAGAGTGGATGCCTCCATTATGAGAAATGTTCCATGCTACAGAAGGTTATCACGCAGAAAAAAGGGAAGCCAATACTGTCACACACCGTGTAAGTGCTCACTGGGGTCTGTGCTGCATCAAGGAACCATGCTAGTTACTGGGTATGGATGATACAAAACAGAAAGTCCCTACTGCACAGAGTGGAATTCGATGGCAATGACAAAGCATCTCACTCGTAGGCCCATGAAGATTAAACTGTCAACTTGATACAGCCTAGAGGCACCTGCGAAGTGAGTCTCAATTCAAGAATCGCACAGAGAGCTTGATGGGGGTGGAAGTGGGGCTGTTTTGATTGTTCATTGACATAGGAGAGCCCGGCCCAGTGTGGGCAGCACCATTCCCTGGCAGGTGGTTCTCGACTGTGTATGAGTGAGCCAGCAAGAATTCTCCTTCATGGTTTCTGCTTCAGCTCCTGCCTAGCCCATCTTCAGTGACGGACTGGGACCGGGAAGTGTAACCCAAATAAGCCCTTTCCTCTCTTAGGTTGCTTCTGGTCAGGGTTTTATCCCAGCAACAGAAAGGAATCCATAAACTTGGTTGAGACACTCACACATGTACACACACACACACACACACACACACACACACACACACACACACACA